TTATATAATATTATATAATTATTATATTCACATAATATAATATCCCTTTTGTCGAGTATCATCGGGATAAACTGAAATGTAGAAGGGGGAGGAGGAGTTTTCAGCATACACAAAACTAAGGTAAAGCCTTTGGTACACTAATATATGCCAATTGCTGCTATTGCAGGCTTCAGAGAGAGAAGTATGAACAGAAGAACGAAGAAAAGAGAATAAAATTCTGGTCAACAACCATGCATAAAAATTCACCTTAAGGTATTATTATTTTCTTCTCATTCATAGCATGGCCGGACCCCCCTGCATCTTGCTGCCCACAAGGGTCATCTCCATGTTGTCCAGGTTTTGTTGAAGGCAGGCTGTGACCTGGATATTCAGGATGATGTAAGTAGATACAACCTTCTTGCTTGGGGTGGAGGGGAAAATGTAATTTACAAATAAGAGTAGACCTTCACTTCTTTGAAGTAGGATTAAATTAAAACAAAATCTGTCTCTGTATTTTCTAATTTGGAGATGCAAAACTGCATGGGAGACAAAGTAAAATGTAGTGGTTTTCAATGAATAGCTTGGTCCTCGTGCTCAAGAGCTCTTTATAAGCTCTGGTTGCGCCGGGCTGGTGTGAGTAGCAGTGAGAGTTATCGTCTGCCTTTTGGTGCAGAAATGAAGTAAGAGCTTGTTGTACCACATGGGAACCCACTGGAGGATGTCAGGTAGGGGACGCGATCCATTGCGATGTGTTCCTGAAGTGGGAGATGCTTTTTGTGTAGATGCATGCCTCAGTGTACAGAATATTGAGTGGCTGCCCAGAGCACTGTGTGGCATCGCAGGAAAGTCGTCCTGTTGGCAGCTGCGCTGGATGTGGGGGTAGTTGCATCTGTGAGGCTGTCGTGTGGTGAAGCATCAGCACAATGAAACCAGCTTTGAATTTAGCGAATGGCAACGGTTTGTTTTCATTTGGTAAAATATGTAGTTATTGGAATTTCTCGGTTTTCCATAAGAATAGTTCTAATCTTGGACCAGGCTTTAAGGCACATTGGAGTGATCGGTAACGTGGTTTTAGTTGCCTCACTCTGATGAACAAAGGTGTAGGCTGAAATGTGCAACAGCAGTTGAATAACCATAACTTCTTCAGATTCGTTGCTAACTTCTGATAGCATGCTGGAACTAGTTTAAGGACGGGTTGCTTTTGTTCCCCCTCTAATAAATAAGGTACAGATTCTTCAAAGGACCTAGAGGTCCAAAGGTGGTTAGTAGAGGCACCTGTATGACTATTAAAAGGACACTGGAAATGCCTACGTGCCTTTTGAAAATCCTCTTAGGCATTTGTTTGCATCTAGAGAGTCTTAAAGATCTATAGAAATTGGAAAACTGGTTTACTTCTCTGCATGAGTAGCTGCTTCCCTGTGAGACGTGCGCAGTCTGTCGGACAAGCTTAGGACTGAGGTACTGGTGCAGCCAGCTTTCTACGGGGAAACTTGTTTTTCTAGGAAGAAACTTTGCTTCCTTTTTCCCTATGCCCATCTGTGAAATGGAGCAGATTTGCAAATGTAATGGGAGTATCAGTTTATTCAGATGTATCCTGAGTATGTTTTTCGACTTCTCCCAGCAAAAATGATTCATCAGGTATTTAAGACAAAATTGCAGGTACGTTACAAGTACAGTCAGTTTTCCTGAGAAAAGCAAGTTGCTGCTCTAAGAATGCAAGAATTTCCACTGATCTGGTCAAACTGGGTTTCTCTGAAAATTGTTTTTTTGAATAAGTCTGGGGTTTGGGTTTTTTTTAATCCTCTAGGAATAAAATCTAGGCTGTTTATAGGTAAACATGATAGCCATAATGGAAAAACAGTAAATCGGTGTTTAGCATCAGTGCAGCTTAGCAAAGAGTAAGTGTCTTGCACTGTAGGAATATTCAGCTCATGGAAGACCTATTTCACGTGCCTTGCAAACTTCTCGGGGGCTTTGTTCACGACAACTGGGTACCACTTCTAAATGTGGTGACTAATCTGAACAGAATAGATGTGTGCTTGATTCACAGATGCTGTTTCTTTAAAATGTATTTTGATTTTAGCTCTGTATTTAGTACTAGTAATTTTGCTGGGGTTGAGGAGAGCCTCAGGAGTTGCTGAGTCTCAGAGGGTGTGTTTGGATTTGTCTCAGAGGAGGAGGAAGGCTAAAACTCCAAGTGAAGATTTTTGCTTGTGAAAGGTATTAACTAAAATATTTCTGCTTTCCTTTTACATAGGTCTTCAAAGAAGGTTCTCTATTTATGGTTTCTCCTCGTATAATTCATTTTTATACTTGATTTATGCCCCACAGAATACATTCTTATTCTCTTTTAGCTGCAATCTATTGATTATGCCTTCGGTCACTTGTACTGTGTGCTTATTTGGCAGTGAAGGCATCTTAGTTTGAAGTGTTGATTAAGATCTGTATGTTTCATTGCTGTTTTTCAGGAATACAGATTTAGGTTCAGAGATTAAACGCTCATGAGAGTGGGGAGTGTCTTATTTAATTGAAAAGTAAATTACTTAGTTGATTTTTGTCTGTGGCATTATTGTGATAATACAAAAAAAAAATCCAGGTTCTAAAAAGATGACCTATATTTTATTTTTCTAAATTACAAGAGAAACCTAAACACATTTTATTTTGGAGTTGACTCTCTTTAGCTAATGAATGAATGGAAGACTTAACTTTTCATCTGCCACATGATAAGCAGAAACTTAAAAATTGCTAAATGTTGTGGAGAGATTAAAACACTCACTTCATGTTCTACAGATACATTCTTTAAAACACGGTAAGAGCCGTAAGAATTAGTTGAAGAATGACCTCCAGTGGCCTGGAGTGGGATTATTATGAATTTCAACCGGTGGAGTCCAGCTCTGTAGAGTACGCCACCCCGGGAGCTAACTCTTTCCTTCTCCCTGCCAATACTGAAAACTCTTACTGGGATCCCAATGCCATCTCTGAGTGGTCAATGAGTATCCATACAGCACACACCTCAGAAATAGTCAAGGAGAAAGTTGTCCCGGTGAAGGAAATCAAGGACGAAAAAGATAAGAGAAACCAGAAGAGAAAGGCTAGGAAGGAACCTAGAAGATCAGAAAGAGAGAAGGAGGTTAGAAATCTTGTGCATCAACCCTGCCTTGAGCTTGATGTCTCCCATGGCTGCATGCTGCGAAACCTTGGCCTGGCGGTCTGGCATGACCGAGCTCTTCTGTGGTGCATGACTGCATGGCGGGCTTTGCGCTGGGTGCTCGGCAGCAAGCTTCCTGCCCTGTATGCGCTCTCTGAAAGTCCAACGGGGAAAACAAGTTAATTTAAAAAAAGGGCCTAAGGCCCCGAAACCTCCCTTCTGGAAGCTCCAGTTTAAGAAGCAGAAAATTGCTTTCAAATGGAACAATAACCCAGGGTTCATAATAATTTCTAGCTGAATGTAAATATGCGAAGTGGCTTATTCCTGTACTCCCATTTCAGTCTCATTTAGGCTGTAATTTGTTTCGTTCATGATTATTTTTTCATCTCTTGATCACTTCTGCTGGTCATGCATCATCATTTATCGTTCAGAGTGAAGTTCTTACTGTGTATCATGATGACTGCCTTTCTTTAGCAAAGGAGCAGGAGAGCAGCACAGTGACATTGAGAAACACTTGGGCACATTCAGTTGCCGTTGTGTACAGCTGCTTCAGGGTATGCACATATGCTTGTATGCTCCTGCAAGTGTTTAACACTAGGTTGTATTTTAACTTTAAAATATGTTGAACTTTCTACTGTGAATTTAGTGGTTTGATTCCATAGTATAAGACTTTGCAAGCTGGACAGCACTTCATATCAGGGATTGAAGGCATGAGTTTTTGCTGGTTATTTTGGTGCAATTCTCCTGTAGCAAGATAGTTTGTTTGGTGATTTCGGCAAACGTGGAAAGACAGCGAGGAGGCAAAGCGTGACACTGGAGAGGGGCTTTAAAGGAGATTGTACAACTGATGGATGCTCTGGAGAATAGGAGTGTGCAGGAAAACAAAGTATGGTGGTTACAGTATTTTTTAAATCAGAGAAAGGAAAAAGTAACATGTATTACAAACTAGGGTAAGCAAAATCTCGTTACATTTGGGTAGTAGAGTCTATAATAGAGATTCCAATAACTCAGGAGAGCTGGCGGAAGTACTAATATCTACCTGAAACCCTTTTGTAAATTGCTTGTGTTGCTTCCTGTCCCTTGGGGTGAACGTCAGATGTAAAATAGATGCCTATCCAGTTTCTAGGTGCCTGGTCCCAGTGGTTGCATCCACTGCTTTAAGTTAGTCAGCAAATGAAGAAGCTCCAGGAGGTAATTGCAAGCACCTGGACACTGAGCAAGCACTACTGGCCTAGCCAACATAGACGTGCTAAAGGAAAGGGGTAATGCCAAAATCCACAGAAAAGGTCAAGATTTAAGTATCTGCCTTTCTTCAGGACTCTGAGCCTGTAGCCCTCTCCTGAAGGCAGGCGTTTAAGCTCTCTGTAAAGAGCACAATTTCACCCTTTGGAAACGTACCTGTTGGTGCTGGGCCTTGCTGTGCAATAGCCCCATTACAGGTAGAGCACGCAGGGTGTGCAGTCCTTCATCCTCTGCACCAGGGGATGCAGACTCCCATCCTGGTCTCCCACCAGCATCTCCCTCTTTCTAGCCCAGTGGATACAGATGTTTTTCTTAAAGATGGAGCACTTTCAACACAGCAGCGCTGCCATGGCAAGACAAGCTTGGCAAGTACCATCATCTCTGGGCTGCTGCAGAAGAGCCGGTGGCCACCTCCTTTGCTGGCCTTGTTTCAAAGGGTGGTGGGCGTATCTGCAACTTGCATGGAGTTTCTTCCAGCAAGTGTGCAGAGGGCACTCAGAGAGTTAGAGAGAGAAGGGGAGACAGCTTCGTTAGGGGCTGCAGCAGTGCTGGGTGCGTGCTATGCGACGACCTCCTCGGTGCCACCACGACTGCGGTAGCCACGTGGTAACCACGACAGCGTGCAAGCCAAGGTGACCGGGGTGTTGGAGTGGAAGCAGCCGAGTTTGAGTTGCTTTCAGGGCTAGGCAGCAGCTGAGGATGGGGATTTAAGATGCACCATTGTAGACTTAAGTGCCTTACTTCTACCAAGCCTCACTTAAGCACCTAAGTGTCTTTTTGGTTTCGGGCCCACACCTGCATTTAGGCAGAGTCTTGTTTCTGTCAAGGTCACATTTGGGTGACATAGTACTGGAGTTATCTCTCTTCATTGCTACTGATCTGCAGTCTGTTCCTAAGGCATAAATCACTTACACATAGGATCTTAAGTTGTGCCCAACATAATAGTCTGGGCAGTTCATAGGCATTTACCGGTGCAATTTATCTCTGAGCTTCTGGAACAGCCCCCTAATGCCTTGCTAAAAGCAGAACTGGTGAGTGCTTTCAGAGGCAGTTATTTTAGCAGTTAATAAAAAGATACACGAGTCAGTGATTACACTGTCTGAAAATTCACACTGTGAAAAAAATGTAACTTGTCTATTTAATCTGACTCCATAAGAGGCAAGATAGGGGTTTGCTTCTGTGCTAATGGGGAGGCAAGACAGGTTAGAAGCACAGTGGTGCAGGCAGTGTTATTTATAGGTGGGCTGTGCCATCTGTGGCTGGGTCACTCAGTGATTTACACGCAGAGACCATTGCAATCTGGTGGTTCAGCTTCCACAGCACCTTAAGCAGTTTAAGGTTAATGTGTGTGCTGAGGCCCAAGGGAACGGTTGACCAGGTCCTGCCCTGCTGGCTGAAGGGCCTGGGGGTGGTAGGGACCTTGACCAGGACATTGATACCTGCCATCTCTTCACTGGGAGGTGCCTCCATGTTTGATATTGTGCTGTCAGCAAGACTTTCTGAAAAAATCATGGACATTGGATGTCTACACTGTAGCAACAGAAGTCTGTACAGGAAAATCATGTCATGATTCCACAGCAGAGTGTGAAGCACAGTCCAGGTGAGGCAGGGTTTGAGATATCTTTTGATCCTTCCTGTTATTTGGATGAGGTATTTTTTTACCTGGTCAGCGTGCTGGTTGGACCTTACTCTGAGATGCCTGGCTCTCCCCATGCTTCTGTAAGGAAGATGTCAGCACCAAAGCCCACACCTTGGGCAGGAGGCATCTGAGCCTGCCATCTGCGGGACTTGTGTCCTTTCACCTACCCGGACTTCCATTTCAGGGACCAGAATATGGTATGAGACAAAGCCGGGGCATGGCTGAAGCCATCCCAGTGCTAATCTGCAGCCTTGGCAAATGGCCCCCCAGCACATGGGCTGGGCTCCCCAAGAGAGACCTGCTCCTGCAGCAGTGAGGTGTGCTTCCCACTTTCCAAATATGTGTTTGTTTTTAATTTAACTGAGATGCCATTAGAAGTAGTTGTCATATCTACAAACCCCCAAAAGCTGAAGTGGCCTTTGACCTCAGCGCAATTACTGTGATGGGGTTGGGCTAACAACAAGAACAGCCTTGATTTAAACTGGCCCAGCAAGAAGATTCTTAATTACAAACTAAATCCAATACAATCCATGCCTGCCCCCAATTTGGTCTTCTCCATGATCAATTTTGCAGATTGTAATGAAGTAGGAACCAACCATTCATTGTTCAGGCTTCATCCATCGCAATGGCAGATGTCATCTTGTTTTAGTCTTTATTATAATATCTTCTGTAGTTTTGCTGGTGCAGCAATACCACATGGCAGGGATAGGTTGGTGGATTACTTTCCACTTCATGGTAGTCAGAAAAAACAACCTTTGCACTGTCCACACTACCCATTGCTGCAGTAGCAGTAGGTGTGCCAGTCATCAGTACCATGCGCTATCGAAGGAGGGTGTTAAGTTCTTCTCCAGCTTGTTAGCAAGCAGATTTCTGTGCAGTAATAGTTACTGGAAACTATCTGACACTGGCACTTGTGAGATGGTATATTTTGGAAATTTTCCGTAACATTTTTGTTATCTTTAAATTTGGAATAAATACACAAGTTCAGAGAACTTGCAGTGCTGTCAGTTTTCCAATACTTCATGTTTTTTCTGCAAGTCCCAGTTCCTGGAGCCATTATTGTCTTTGTTCAAAATCTCTTAAAATACATTTCCAGTCTTAATAGGGACAAGAGCAAAAGTAAGAATATGTGACCTCTAGAGACAAAACATAGATGGCAAATCAAAAAAATAAGAAGTTCTCAACAATTATTTTAAAAATCAACTTCATGATTATAAGCCAATTTCATGATTTACTGGTGGTGGCAGTTGGCATTACAAGGGTTACTGACAGGTTGTGGTTGTCAGTGCTTATTTTTCACTTATGGATTAATAACTATTTTGGTGTCATTAGCACAGAAGAACCCCACCAAGAGCAATTTTTAAGTCAGCTGCTAATTGCTTTTGAGGACAAATTATTCAAATTATCCAGTTATCTAAAGACTTGTAGACTGTAGGACAGAAAATACAGAAATTCCTTTAGGTTTAGTATTTAATATAATGAGGTATTATCTTATAAACATTTGTAGCAGAGAAATTTTGTATTTATTTAGGACTAGCTTCCTGCAAGCTTTTTTTCTCAGCATACACTGCATATCTCTGCCCTGTGTGTGTTTCTGGTGACCATTATCTAGACAAGTAGAAGTGGATTGGATTCCCACTCTGTTTATTCATCCCCCAAAAAGGCTGTGTGCAGCTTTGAAGCTAGTCTTTGTGCCTGGACTTAGGCTGTGCTTCAGCATTGCAGGCTCAAAGCAACTTCAAAGAAAAGCCAAGACCGTTTTTTGTGGCAGCAGTGGAGCTACTGCAGCTCGTTTTCCCATCGGCTGATGTCTTACATCTCTGCACGCTCCTGCATAAATCCTCCTATTCCCCCTCTTTTATCATTGTCTCACCAACATGCACATAAAAATACACAGATAACCCCTGATGTGCAGGGCCAGTAGTTGTGTTTCCCTAGTCTTCAGTTTCTGGAATGCTTGTAGAAAATTAATCTTGGGCTCTCTAGCTCAGCAAATGAGTTCAGCAGTTGTTAGAGGGGAGATAGATGGGCAGTCAGACAAGATGACCTCATCAGCATAATTTCTTTTGGAAACTTGGCTGTAAAGGAAATAAACTGATGTAAGAAACTTGCTTGTTGCTGCTACATGGGAGGTCAATGAGAAAAGAAAGTCGTTTGGACCTCAAGGTCGCTCAGTTGCTTGAATGAAATAAGTTGATGGTCTTGCAGTTGTGGTCCTCATCATAAAATTGCCTCCACTCTTAGCACTAATTGGTAATTCATCAGAGGTGCTGAAGAGACCGATCTCATCTCATGCTCCTTATCCTAAGCAGGGCTGATGGAGCAATCAGAGCCAAAACAGGAGAGCCTCATCCAGTTAGTGTAAGTACTGGAGGATCATTATGATGAATGACGACAGCCTGTAATTCCCTTTAGTTCCCTACAGATACTGTTGATTATTAGACACGTAGTGCCAAATGTGTTAGATTCACTGCCTTCTAATATTACCATATTTTTAGAATGCTTCAGCGCTGTATATAGGATTGTGATGACTTGCAAACTTCTGTAAACAGTTGGTTTGTAGCTCTCTGATACTTTCAGTAACTTCATTAATCTTGGAAACTTTAATGATAGCTGTTCATGGGGACTGTTTTCAAAGGCAGCTTGGATTTAACAGTATGTGTGTTGAAGATGTAGCCCCTGTGTGTGTGGTATGCATTTGCATTGAGTCAAAATGAGGTGGGAATGGTACCGACTACAAATTTGCCTCTTTTTGCAGGGGGATCAGACAGCATTGCACCGGGCTGCTGTTGTAGGGAACACCGATGTTATAGCAACTCTGATTCAAGAGGGGTGTGCTTTGGACAGACAAGACAAGGTAACAGGCAAAAGCAAAGCCCTGTGGGATGGCAGCCTTGCCAGCCAGTAATATTAAGGTCTCAGAGGGAAAGTTATGGTTTATACTGCTGAGTAAGTATCTGATGCTTTGAAAGTAATTGCAACAGGTACATTGAAAAAAAGCTGTACCATCTTTTTAATATAAATTACTCAGTTATTTTTTTCTATCAGGCTGGTAGGTTTTGATTTAAGAGTCTGGTCTCAGCTCATTAAGGGAGGAATTAAAGAAATGTACAACCATACTATGCCCTACGTAAAACACTACACCGTTTCTGTTGATTATCCCAGTAATAGAGAATCCCAGGCTGTAAATTTATTTTGGGAGTAAATATAACTAATTCCAAGTTCCAAACAAAAGAAATAACAATACTTTTAGCCTCTTCTGAAAATAAAATAGAAAATAAGCTATAAGGAAAGGAAAATGGTTTATTTTTTAAGTGACCAGGTGGGGCATGCAGCTGCTGCGTTCTGAATGTAACGTTACCCTGCATGTGGACACAGCACCCTAACCTTCTCCTCTTGTGTATGTGCTCT